AACCAATATAAATCTACTGTTATATCGTGAAGTCCAATGTTCGTTACCTAGCGATTGAGTCGGGCTCGACTCGTGCAGCTCAGCCAATGGTCGATGTATCCCTAATCAAGGGCGTTTCTAAGAGTACATAAATCCAATGTTATCTCAGTTTATCTAATAGTTCTAATAAACTAATATGATAACCAATAAGCCATTTGAAACTCAATTCCACTCCCTTCTCAACCGATCTAAATATATTGTTCTATAGTGAACTTCAATCACCGATGCTCGTGGACCAAGCTCAATTCGTAGATATTAGGTCGTTTGCCTAGCAATTGATTCGCCTTGACTCGTGCGTAGACATGGTCAAATCCCTAGCCTGGCCCGGCCCGGTTCGGTGGGTCTCTTGGTTCGACATGACCGACCCTGAACTAGGTACGGGCCTGACCCGACCCAAATTCAGGACTCATCCTAAAAAAATATTGAAAAAAAAAAAATCGATCACTGGCATGTTACATATACCCAACCCTGAATCGGTTCCATTTGAATTCGGACACGGGCCCAAACCCGTTGACCACACGTCTGACCGGGCCGGTGACCCGTAAACATGTCTACTCGCACATAACGAGACAATAATGAACTTTTTGACTTCATTACATTATGGCGGCAGAAGTTTTCATTTTGTAAATGTCAACTCCGTGTATTGAATGAACTTCTTAAGCTAGGTTAGGTATCAAATATCTACAACATTTTAATTTTTCAATTAACATAGGTCTTGACTTGACAGGCAGATAGTCCCCATTTATTCATTTTTTGTTTTTTAGTTTTATCAATACAAGACCGAAAGATGGGTAAACTATCAATGCGGGGCCTAAAAGATTTTTTTTTTCTCAATTCCAGACTTAAATGTTATAAAACTATCAAATTAAAGACCCGAAAGATGGGTAAACAATCAATGCGGGGCCTGAAAGATTTTTTTTCTCAATTTGGGACTTAAATGTTATAAAACTATCAAATTAAGTCTAGAATTAACAAAATTTGTAACACCATTAAATTTAGAGTTTAAAAAAAAATAAAAGATTGGTGTTTACTCACATAAAATAATAAGTAAACATTTACATAATATTAAAAAAAAAGAAATGGACGATAGCAAGAAAACCGAGCAAGAGTTTTATACTTTGCTTAATTTACTCTAACAATATCGTATTTTCCTTAATTTTCTTCATTTTTCTTTTTTTTTTCTTTTTCTTTTTTCACTTTGTAATAAATTTGGTGTTTTAAAACTTCAAATTATCTCTAAATTTAATATTTAGAGATTGTCCTAAATTTACTTATAATTTTCTTCATTTTTCTTCAATTTTTTTTTAATATTATGCAAATGTTTACTTATTATTTTATTTTATGTAAGTAAACACTAATCTTTTATTTTTATTTTTTTAAACTCTAAATTTAATGGTGTTATGAGTTTTGTTAATTCTAGACTTAATTTGATAGTTTTATAACATTTAACTCCGGAATTGAGAAAAAAAAATCTTTCAGGCCCCGCATTGATAGTTTACCCATCTTTCGGGTCTTTAATTTGATAGTTTTATAACATTTAAGTCCCGAATTGAGAAAAAATAATCTTTAAGGCCCCGCATTGATAGTTTACCTATCTTGCGGGTCTTGTATTGATAAAACTCCTTTTTTTTTATAGAAGAAAAAAGGTAGATAAAATTGGTAAGTGAATTATGAAAATAATAATTTCATGATACCTAATTACATGGAGGATTGGACTAAATTATGAATGTTTAATGATAATCGTTATTATATTTAAGTTTATGGTATACACTAGTACAACGCCCGTGTATTACACGGGTGCTTGCTAATTTTTTACTTAAAATATAAAATTATTGAGAAAAAGTAGTTAAAAATTTAAATAACTTTTATAAGAATATATATTATTATATATTTAGTATGACACTTTTTATTTGTGTGACTTACTTGTGTTATATTATAATAATTTTTTAAACTTACAACATATAACTACATTAAACAAAATATATCAACTGAGAAATAATTTTATTTTTCTAATAAAATTTAGTAAATATTATTTTTTATTATTATAAAGATAAATATTATTTATTTATTTTATATATACAATATGGATGTCAAATCGAAGATCATGAAAAGATGATTAATTTGATATATCATATATGTAAAACCGATAAGAAATACAAAAGTTATCAACTTTTAAAATACATTTATGATTCAATAGCTAATTGAAGGAAACAAATCAAAAGTCAGGGATATATTAGTCACTTAGTGTCTCACTATGTAAAATTACAAAGAGTTAAAGGGTTATATTAGTACAAGTGATATTAAAATAACTAAGTTAGTTAAATAATATTTATGGAATGTCCGAACCTAGATATTAATTATTAATATATCAATTTATTTGTCCGAACCTAATTACGAAGCATGATTCTTCGCCAAGTAGGATTTCGAAGCACCAGAAGCAGCCACGTAGGCTCAGCGCATTCGGGAATTATATATAGGGGCGATTGGTCTTTATATAGCGACTTCTACCTGATTTGGTCGTTGAAATTAGCCTACCAATTCGTGTTCCATCAGAGTAATATAATTAAATTAATCGAAATACAAATAAAATTCGTATAAATCGGCCTACCAATTCGCGCAAATACTTAGGTGTGGGCTTTTAGTGAAATACACCTTCTCCAAAAGTGCGTGGGGTAAGTAGGTAAGGATTTTTTTTTTTAATGGGACATGTGTCTCAATTCTATTGGGCAATGAAATTCATATATCATATTATATAAATTAAATTATCATTTATATTTGTATCAAAAAATAAAAATAAAAATACCAAAATTCATAATTTTTCATTCTCTACAAATAGAGACCACATTTGATATTTTTTAAACACAATTAATTTATCATTTTTTACAATTAATTTATCTTATTGGAAGATTATGACATAAATCTATAATTAGATGAATATGTTATATAGTAAGATGAACATGTTATAGAGTAAGATGAACATGTCATAGAATAAGATGAAAATATTACATTTTCACAGATGAAATTTAGATGGACATGTTCTAAAATAAGATGAACGTGTTACATAATAAAATAACATGTTATAGAATAAGATGAACATGTTACATGCACAATAAGGTGAACATGTTATAGAATAAGATGAACATGTTACATAATAAAATGAACATGTTATATAATAAGATGAACATGTTACATACACAATAAGGTGAACATGTTACGTAATAAAATGAACATATTAAATAATAAGATGAACATGTTACATGATTATATGAACATGTTACATACACAATAAAGTGAACATGTTACAAAATAAGATGAATATGTATTGTTTCAATCTACAATCTGTAACATGTTCATCATATTTGAAAACATATTCATTTTATTATGTAACATGTTCATTATATGTCAGTATAATAAAATAATTACGAAAAATTATGAAAAATTATGAAAAAAACGAAAAATTAGTTGTGTTCAAAAACCTATCAAATGTGGTCTCTATTTATAGATAATGAAAAATTTTGAATTTTGGTATTTTTATTTTATTTTTTTAATATAAATAATTAATAATATTTTAATTTATGTAATATGTCTCATTTTTCAATTAAAAAGGAAAATTGGGGATATGAACTACACTCTCCAAATTTCTCTAGTATTGGGGAGTTTTGGGGAGTAAGGGGGCGCGTGCAAATGTGCCCTGGCACGCCTAGCTAGGTGTGCCAGGGCACACGGTAGTGGTACTGACCAATTCGTGTTCAATCAGAGTAATAAAATAGAAGTAGCCGAAATACAAATAAAAATCAACACCCAATCAATCATTAATTATTGCAAGTTAGATGATGTTTCGCCCAAATAATTAGTGCGGTACGTGTACGTTGCACGTGTTAATTTTGTTAAGGTATACATTTAGATTAAGATGATTGTAAGAACGTAAAACGTATTAGAATAAAACAAAGTTTAACTTATATATTATTAAACATAAAACAAATAATAAACACTTGACACTGATATTTATTAGGATTCTACATATGTTTAAATAAATCAATTAAATTATTTAGCATGATATATATGATATAATTTATACTGATTTTATGAAGAATGCATAGTCAAATATATCGTAGATTGTAAAACGTCTTTGTTGATAATTTTTAGTCTTATTATTTTAAAATTGTAAATTAGTTAATTTAAGGAAGGAAACAATTATGTACGTGTATGCAATCAATTTCAAATTTGTATTATAAGATTAAACAAATTCTAAATTTTTAGAATGTTCCAATCCGATTTCATTTTGACTTTCAAATTAATTTTATATGACTATGTTTTTTGTTTAAAAAAAAAATCAAACTAAAGAACGTAGTGACCAAATGATAAAGGATTGTAAAATATTAATATTCAAGTTGAAATTGGGTCCGATTTCTATGCAATCTATTTTTTTTAATAAACATGATCTATCGCAATTAAGTAAAGATACATGATATAATATTTTGCCTAATTCGAAATTCTCGATTCTACGGTAAACAAATTTTTTTAATAAAGAATGAGAGAATTTTGAATTTTACAAAATTGTCATGCCGAATTTTACCTAAATTAACCCGATTTCTACGCAATCCGATTTTTTTTAATAAACAATTGATCTGTTGCAATTAGAAAAAGATATATGTGATAGTATTTTGCCAAATTCGAAATTCTCGATTTTATGGTCAATATTTTTTTAATAAAAAATGAGAAATAATTTTGACTTTTACAAAATTGTAAGCATCAGTCGAAATTTAATTAAATTAAATCTACTAAACCCAAGAATTTAGGATGCATATACATCAAATCGATTTTTTGAGAATAAGTTAAAAAGAAAATTAAAAAATTGCCAAAAATAGAATGCAATAAATGTTGATTGACTTTTTTTGTTATTATTTTTGGTAAATAAGTTATCTCTTTATATATAGATAGATTAAACAAAATATAATTACTCAAAAATCTCTCATAATAATCTCCTCAAAATCCAAACCCTCTGGAATCTCAAACCTCAACAAGCTACTGCAAAAACTCTCCCTCTCATCCTCCACGCCGCCATCGATAAACGCAGGTCCCGAGTTCAATGGAGTTGTCGGGCTACACGTGTTCGGAGTTGACAAAACCGAGCCATCGAACCCCAGATTGTCCCACGACCGAATGCTCGAGTAATCAGTCGGTAGGCTATGATCATCGATTGTAGTAACAACTGTCGTTGTTGTTAAATTATCGTGAATTATTTGGCCTGTCGGGTCGTCCGTGTGTCCGACGGGAAACCCCGACTGGAATGCATTGAGAAAAGAGGAAGTTGCTAGGTTTGATGGGTGGGTTTGTTGTGCCGTGATAATATTTTCAAACCGGTTAGGTTGGAAGAGTGGGCTCGAGTGGTGGGGATGGGTCGGGTCGACTACTGGTGGGCTCTTGTTTTGCAAGACGAGACTCAATGCAAGTTGGAGGAGGCTCGGGAGGTTGAGAGCCGGAGGGGAGGTGAGGAGGGACGATAGATCGAGTAGGTCTAGCCGCGGGCCGTGGGTAACTGGGTCGATACCCGTTTTGAGAAGCCTCTTTCGAATGTGGGTATTCCAGTAGTTCTTGATCTCGTTGTCGGTTCTTCCAGGCAGACGGGCCGCGATTGCTGACCATCTAGTAATCGATGCACGAGAAAATTAGGCATGCAATTAATTGTATATGTCATAGTCTTAATTAATGTAATTTGTTGGTTATTTGAAGTTGGTATTGGACTTATGAGATAGTTACATAAACTTCGATGTTCATCATTCATTGTGTATTACTGAATCATCTCATTTTCAATTATTCAACCATTGCCTTTTCGCAGTTTAATGTTAGCCATATTAGTCAACATTTATATGTTTCGATGTAACAAGATGTTATTTGTAACAAGTAGTTTTGTCAGTTGGTTAATTGATCACATTTTATTTATGAAATTAATAAAAGGATGAAAATTCAATCACTTTTTCATACAGAATTGATCTGATTTATATGTGTCATTCATCCAATTAATTAATATGCGCTGGAATATAAAATTGAATAGTATATATATATATATATATATATATATATATATATATAACTGTTTGAAGTGGTTGATCAAGATCATTTCTTCCTTTTTGTTTTAAATTGAAAAAAAAAAATCTAAAAAAAAAAAGAAGAAGAAAAAGCAATTAATTAAGCAATAGTCTTACTTGTTGCCAAGAACACTATGGAGTTGAATTATGGTTTCTTCTTCCTCAAATGAGAACCTTCCTCTCTTTATATCGGGCCTAAGATAATTCGTCCACCGGAGTCGGCAACTCTTCCCACATCTTTCGAGCCCTATACACAATCACCATCAACATTTATCCATATCGACAATTCGACACTAACAATTCGTTTCCCCTAATCTCATATTTGAAAACAAAAAAAAAGTACAAAAAAATATAAATATAATAAATACCGGCATTTTTGGGAAGGGCTTTCCAATTTCCCGGGCCGTGTGTCTGAACATACCGAACGAGCTTAGCATCCTCCTCAGGAGTCCACGGGCCTTTCTTGAGGCCATCTTTGTCACAACAAGGTGATCTACCCATTCTCTTTGCTTTGAGCCTTTTTTGTATATATGTTGATTAATATGGAGAAAGTGTATAATATTTAGTGTATATTAATATTAGTGAACTTTTGGAAGAAAACAAAGGTTTGAAGGTGAAGGTCCAAGTGAGAAGTGACAAAGTACCCTATTTATAGAATATTTGAATTAGTTAAGGAACAAAGATTGAACTATTGAAGTCAATAGGATTTGGTGCCGGCCCTTTAGTTTACGTCCATCTCTTTCTCACTCTAAATTGTGTGATATGTTGTGTGTGTGTGTGTGTGTGTAGTGGTGTGAAAATTTGAGAAATTGTGACATAGGAAAAATGTTTGAGTGGGAATTAAGAAATGCTCTCATGCATTAGGTAAATAATGGTTTTATTTCCCTTTTTTTTTTGGGTTCATTTAGTGAAATTTTCAAAGTTAATTTGGTCTTGAATACATCAAAAGTGAGAATATTGTGTCTGACTATGAGTTAATACGTCTACCAACTGATATGACGGAATATTAGCATATCATTGGATTGTAAAGTCTTCGGATGATACAACTTACGGAGCAATGTAAAATTATTAGTAAATAATGTATTGACACTTGTTCTACTATAAAATATTTTTTAGACAGATGTCAGTATATCAAATTAAAATTGAGCAGTGTGTTCAAAGACTGCGAAATTAGAACGAGTGACTGACGTACCCACCGTAAATGAGTGAATATTTCTATCAAAAGTAATTCAACTGAAATTCGATAAATTATAATAGTAACCCCACAATATTGAAATCGATCAAGAACAATGTTTTGATCGGGTTGAATGAGACACGTGCCCAAGATGTATCAGTTTTTGAACCGAAAGCTGGCCTTCGACTGAAAATATGGTCAAATTGGTCAAAATTCTAAAATTAATTCTTAATTTTAATTGTTAAAACTGCAAAAAAAAAAAATGAAATAAATTGACAAGCAATTCACATTTTAGAAAGACATAATTCATGGACTAAATAAATAGTAAGATTAAGTACATGAAAATTGTGGTGTAGGTATTTTGTATACTATAAAATTCCCACTATATAAGATTTGATTTGGTGATAATTGACATTACATATTTTTTCGGACCAATTCCTAATAAGTGATTTAAAGTCTCAACATGATGTAAATTGTTGCTAAGTATTCAAATAATCATTTTTTGACTATTGACTTAATTCGTTATTCGGGCAAAATTTAATCGTAGAAATTAAAATTGGAAATAATTTGGAGTTTCTTATTAGTCAACTAGGTAGAATTTCTTGGATTACACAAAGAACACGTGATCATTAATTTATTTAACTTGCGGTAAAGTTGGATTAACAGTTAAGTGACAAGTGGCAGTTTCCAAGTGGGTTTTGACTTTTGCATGAAATCATTAAAAAAAGAAAATAAAAAAACAATGCAAAGGGCAAAAACGGGCTTATAAAAGTTGGTACGGTTGTATTTGTGTATTCTCTTCGTTTTTATGAAAGTCTATCGTTTCGAAAAAAAAAAAAAAGTTGGTACGGTTGTTACGTCCAATACCCGATTAAAAGAAAGAAAAATACAAAATATTATTTTGAATTTGGAGCAAATAATATTTTTTTGTTCAATAAATTTACAGTTTCAATATATTTCCACTTACTAATCAAATCACTATAGTTGCAAGTGACCCAAATCGAGTTGAATTAACTCAACGGGAGTTTTTTTTTTTTAGTTAATTAAGGTTAATTTAGAAAAAAAAATGTATAGTTAGTTGTTAGTGGGATTTTGAGTTTATATTAAAATAATATTTAAATAGAATAATTAAAATTAGTTTGATGTAAAAGTATAAGAGATAAAATATGAAGTGGTGGTTACTTAAAAATTATGTGAGCGGGTGAATAGTTAATTAAATTTTATATGATGTGTAAACATGATTGGTTGTTATTATTTTAATGACTGATGTTAATATTTAATCATATTGATAATATTGAGTATACTGGGGTTCGGTTAGATTTTGAGTATGAATTAATTTAGTTTCAAATTTTTATTTTACAAACATAGCCCCTCGGTTCAATTGATGAACTCTAATCAAACTTAGTTCCTAAATTTCGATAGTTTCAAATAAATATAATGTATAAAATTACTCTTTTTTTTTTGGTCTTTGGAGAAAAAATTAAATAGATTTAATAAAGAAAGAAAACACATTAGGTTAAAAATTGATGATAAAAAAAAATGTGTTACTTTATTTTGGAAAATTATTCGATTTGTTTGATGAGCTAATGTTCCAATTAAGTCATGAATAAATCATTGTTTAAAAATCTGCTTAGGCGGTGCCTGGGCGCCTCCCATTTGTACAAATTGGCAGAAAAAATTGGCGGTTAGGAGGCTTCTAGGCGGGCTCGGTGGTTAGGCAGGCATAGGCGGACTTACGCGGGCTCGACAACAATATTTCAATTTTTTTCTTTTTTTGAATACTAATTACATTATTTTGTTCGCATGTTTTATTTTAAAAATATTTTAATATTATTATTTAGACTTCAGTGTGTAAATTTATTATAAGCTGAGATTGTTTATTTTATAAGTAGTTAAAATAAATATAAAATAAAATATTTAATATTAATTTCTAAACCCCGACTAGGCGTTGCGCCTAAACGCTAGGCGTTGGTCGTGCGACATTTATAATAATACTGGAATAAATTAATGAATTGTGATTGTAGGATAAGACGTAAAATGACAAAATGAACAAAATTTTGAATTTCGTTGGCAGATATTAGTAATATTTTATTATATCTATTTATTAGTATTATTTAATGGAATTTGAGTCTAACACGTGTTTAACTGCTACAAAAGGTATAGTTCTCTCGATGTGTCCACGTATACGTATTCATGACGTATGATGCTTCTTTGCTTGCTTTATCATGTCAACTACTACTATGTACCGTCACTCACCATAACCAATTATTTATTTTCCTAATTTCTATATGTAATTATATTTTATGAAATTGAGTTAAATATTTTATGAAATCGCATTATACTGAGTTTTTTTAACTTTGTAAAATATAATTTTTCATAAAAAAAAAAAAAAAATATGTTGAATTTTACGAACATTCATAATTTTTAATCTTCTCTATATGACTATATATAGTATGTTTTCATAAATAACTATATTATCAACATGTATGAGAAATTTACAAAATTATGAATATTTATTAATTAATTAAATTTTATCAAAGTTATTAATGATATATATATATATATATATATTGCAATTACAAATTAAAAGCTACTCATTATACTTTTTTTTATATATATAAATGTAATTTATGTAAACCAATTCGAAATTTATTATGTCACCAACATTGCTTATAATAGCTTAGCGTAGTCCATCAAATTCAAAGTCGTTAGATTTCAGGTAATTAATTCATCAAACTCTTAGCTAACGAACAAGATTTTGGTCAAACAATTATTATAAGATATGGTTTTTTTTTTTCTTTTTTCTTAATAATAATACAAAAGCAAAAAATATATGATATATTAATAGTGGCCCATATATAGGCCAAAATTAAGCTCTCTTCTTCAGCTGAGCTTTCTTGTCCAACATGATTACCTTCAATTTCCATGTTTATATTTAATTAATTACCAAATATATAATGTTCGAGAAAAATACACAATTACATATATGCACATTAATTTAAAAAAAAAATATTTATTTTAAATAATATATGATGTATGAACACAAAAAATTGATGAATAAGACACTGTCCATTAATCCAACACATTTTTTTTTCTACTTTTGGTTTGCAAGACAGCATAATCGTCAGACGGGTCAATCTATTATATCTACTTATTAGAAAATATATAATTTATGCTATGAAATATCATAGTTGGTTTTGTTTATGATTTTTTTAAAGAATGTGACATATAAGTTTAAAAATATTCGTATTTAATTGAAAAACAAAATATAATTGTCTAACTGTTATCCAGACGAACATTAACCAGAATTCATCAACTATAACCACTTGGCTATTTTCCATGTCTTGGGGGATTTATAAGTAATGGATAATAAGCACACATAAGCTTGATTAGAAATTAATTAATCAAATGTCAAATATTTATTTCTATGATTCCATCATTTGTGGGATTTGCATACACAATTAACATACTTGTATTGGTAATTAGTTGTCACCAACCCTAATTTAGCCATAATTTTTCACAACCCATTTAATTACTATTTTATTTATTTATTTATTTATTTATTTATTGGTTGATTTAACTGTAGTATGAGGTGTGCAATAACCTCAACAAACTTTCAATTATATAATGCAGTGTTTCTTTTATTAGTCTTTGCAGCACGCATTAATATATATTATTTGGTAGATTTGGATTGTATCAAATCTTAGTGAAGAAAGTTGGTCTCTTAACATGAAAGTAAATAATTCAAGTATACCAATATGTATATGCATTAGCATTAAATAAGAATAATACCATACTTGGAATTAAATAATTCAAGTACATCAATATGTATAAGCGACAGCATTAAAAATTTAAAATAAGAAGAATCCTATTATTGTAAGAATTTGTGTTATACATTTAGAATTATTATAATTTGTGACCGTTGAATAAATTATGCAGGAAACGTGTAAGGTTGCATGGAGACAGTATACGTGTAGTGAGATACTACAGTCTCATTACTATTTACTGAATCATTCCGTCGAGGTTTGTAACCGTTAGATCATCATGTGACCATCGAGAATAGTTGATCTAACGATTATAAAGCCCGACAGAATGGTACCGTACGAGACAATATCAATTTTCATATATATATATACCGTGCATGAAAATTGTATTTAAATAAAACTAAATTTAAAAAATGTGTCCAGATGGTATAGTATTACAAATCCACGTTGAAGGACGTTATTGTTCACATGAATTAATTAATTTTATAAAATTTTTGCTAGAGATTAGCACAAATTAAGCTTTCCCATCCGTAGTTAGTTAGGTGTAAAATTTACAGTTTAATAATACAAATTCAGCAGTTTTCGATTATAATTTTGAATAAACAATTTTTTGATATATTAATGTCAATGAAGGGCAGCCCACCTTGAAATGTTACAAATTCAAATGCAAATTAGCAGATTGACATTTGGGCAAACACGGGCTTATATTTTACAAACCCACTTTCCCTTTTCTTCTGAAATAGGCCCATCAAATGAAGGCCCATGCATGACCGAGTACACAGGGTCGGATTGTAGTTACACACCATTCGTCCCTCTTTTTGTTCCATTTAGAAAAAAATATAATAGAAATACAACATTCGAGATTTAATTATTATAAAAATTATAGTCGTAAAATTTAAGATAATATAAATATAAGTTTTAATCTTAAATGTTTTATATTTTTTAGATTATGTTATTCATTTTATTTGACATAACACTTCTCTCGTATCAGTGTTGTGATATTGTGTTGTGTTTGTAAGTGGTTATTTTCCTTATAAGAAACTAATGAGAAAAGATGTAATCATATCAATAAGAGCATTGATGGCGCCAGATTTTGAATCGTTAGATTACACGCGCACTGATACTCATATAAGTGTTGTTAGGGGCGAAGCTACTTGTACTGGCTGGGGTCGTCCGACACCGACGCTTTGCGTTGAACCACTTGTACGTAGCAAAATTTCACCGTGTAAGACCCCATTAAAAAAATAATAAAACCCCGGCAGCAGGGGCGGATCTATATAAGGCACCGTGTAAGACCCCCCGACCCCCTCAACTAAAATTTCTGAATTCGCCCCTGAGTGTTGTACTAATCCGACAGCTCGAAGCTCCATGATGACACCAGATTCTGAATCGGTAGATTACAAACACATATATAATCATATAATTGTATTTGTAACCCAAATATAAAGGGGGAAAGGACAAACTTTGTGTTCTACAAACACACATACTCATATAATTGTATTTGTAGCCCAAGCATAAAAGACAAGGACAAACTCTATTGTATTTGCCTTTTTTCTTTACACAAAAATTTTCAGTACGTTTATAATACTTAATACAATCATACTTGATCTCTAGAGCAACACGAAAGCCCCAAACTAACGATCATAAAATAGCTTTGCTAGGAATGGATCACACAAGTGAAAAAAGTTAACATGGCTCAATAACTACACACATAACATCTCAAGATCCCATTAATCCCTTAGCAAATACAGCACCAAAAGCTTCCATTCTATTCCTTGGTAATGATAATCCAACCTCCAATCCTCCGTTTGAATCCCTCGACTTACTCAACGACATCGAATAATGGTCCCCATCGATCGACACCACTTCCAACGTTCTTGCCTTTCCCCACCCAAAATCGACATCCGAAACGTCGAATTTCGGAGAACCCGACACTCCAAGTCCCGTCATACTCTTCGATCCCTTCAATTCTCGGATATTCGAAATCCAATTCTCGGCACCTCTCAAAACCTCATGCTTGTTATTCAACCTATTTTTAATATCTTCGTCAATAGCCTCAGCAAGTATC